CTGCACTGAGAGAGAGAGAGCTTAAACGTGAGTTCTCCAATGAATCGACATCTGCTGGAAAATTTCTTGCTTAAAAGACAATGTGTGACAAATAGACCTCGTGATATTTTGGAAATATCTAACATAATTTTTCTTCTTTATATATTTCAAGTTCTGAACTCTAATTTTATTATTTTTCCATTACAGCACATGACCTCTGATCGTGAGGCTGGGCGAAGAAACTCTCCTTTGTAAAACCAATTGTGTTGAGCAGATGCCAACAGCCCAACTACCGATGAGGAAGCAGGAGTTGTTTTAATTTGTTCGGACCCAGGACAGTCTGACCTGGACAAAATTCAGGGCTAACTGCAGGCAGCAGAAACCTCTGCCTCCTCCTTCCACAGCCTCCCACACTTCTGGTCCTCATTCCAAAGAACAAGCTAGAGTCATCCCACCCGCTCCAGCCCTGCCAGACAAGTGACTGACCTTAAGAAAAAAGAGCAAGTTCCTCACCACGCAGGTACTTACTTGCAATTGTGCCTGCCCACCACACAATGTCTGTTAAATAGGAGGTACCTATAAAAGAGAGGAATGTCAGCGAAGTATGAAGCAAGAGATTTACAAGCTACATACTTAAGAGGAATTTTTAAATAAAAGCTAAAACGGAAAAGAATAATGAATGCCATTCTGTTTATTTATCCGACAAAGAATCTTTGAATTAGTCTATAAATAGCAGCATGAGAAATCACTAAAAGTGGCAAAGATATATTTTGCAACCAACACAAGTGGGCCCAAACAAATAAAATCTTTATAAAATTTTTTTTTCACTCAACACATCATCCAGAGACATAAACGTTCTTTGGAATAACATTTTATATATTGATTTCAAATGAGATTTAGCCTTCAAAGTCCAAATTCTCTCATGCATTTACTGAAACCTATTTATATGATAATTTTACTAGCATAGGGTTCAATGACTTGCTACTTAAACAGGTTATTCAATGTTCATAATATAGACCTGAGACAGGCTGGGTCCTGGGGTCTGGGGCCCTTTGGTGCAGTGCTTGCACCTGGACAGACATCTCCTGGAGCAGCAGAATACAAACAAACTATAAGGGACTAAAAATAACTGCACACACAGTTGGAGCAAATTATGAGCAACAAAAATACAAAAAGACCAAAACCTAACTGTCACTTCTGAGGTGCTGGGAGCAGAAGCAGGGCCCTGCTTGTGATCCCCGCACACAGCATCACCAAGGGGGTGGGCACACCACCTTTGCTACCAGGTCCACCTCCACCCTCACCCATTTAAGGGACCAGTTCACCCCACCCTCAGAGCGCAAGCAAGGGAAACTCTTCTTTGTTTTCACTTCCTCCTGCTACAGCATGAGTCTCAATAAAGCCTTGCCTGAATTTCTCATCTGGCCTCTTACCAATTTCTAATGATTAACGAGTCCAACAACCCAGGTCGGTAATAGAACCTTTGTGGCATGGCTCTTTTTATAACCATTTGAAAATGGTTGAAAGCAGACCCTTACACTCACTGGACAATCTGATACTGCGCACAATGCTTTCTCTTTTGCTCTCATGGATCAGCCTCCTACATTCCCATGCTGTCCAAGCAGGCAGAGGTGCAGGGGCAGCTGTCTAGGTCTCCCCACCACATCCCTTCCCCCTTCTGTCCTTCAGATATGTCAAAAGTCTCCCACCTGGAGTACGTTTTTCCATTTCAGATTAGAATATCTGATTCTCATTGGATGTTTTAATTCTCAGTAATCTGATATAATGAACATATAGAAGCCAGCCTGCTTCACCGAGGAGCAGAGCTACAGGTATTTAAAAAGGACTTTTTAAAAAACAGGACCAATAATAAGGATAGGGTAGGAGGAATGGTCAAGTTCAAATATCATCATTTAGTAACATCACAGTAAAGACAGATTCAGGCAAGAACCATAAATGGAGACTAAGACAAGTGACTGAAAGTTTGGTGAGGAACAAGATTGTCACATAGTCTCCATGAATCACCCCCACCGGTTTTTTATTAATCACAAAGAGAAAAAGTTATTTTTTACAGCACTCTAAGATCCTGACAGACATCACCTTAACCAAGAGTCAAAGTTAACACCATTAGCAATGAGATAAACCAATATCCTATGCCTCCGGAGGGTGCACTGAGAAGGGCACATCACATCTGTGGTGCACCTGCCACAGGGCACCATCTGAATCCAATCACAAGGAAACAAACAGTCCACACATCAGCTAGCCTACGCTCTTCCAAAATGGCAAGGTCATGAAAGACAAAGGCTAGGGAACTACTGCAGATGAAAGGAAACTAAAGAGATGTGGCTAAGAAAGAGAAAGAAAAATACCATACGGTATCACTCATATGTGGAATCTAAAAAAAAAGAACAAAGAGAAAACAGGACACTAATGAACTCATCTACAAAACAGAAGCAGACTCATAGACATAGTAAACAATCTCATGGTTCCACCTGGGGGGGGGGGAAGAAGTGGGTGGGAAGGGATAAATTTGGAAATTTAAGATTTGTAAATGTTAACCACTATATATAAAAATAGATAAAAACCAAATTTCTTCTCTACAGCAGAGGGAACTATATTCTGTATCTTGTAATACCTATAATGAGAAAGAATATGAAAATGAATACACAAATACATATGCATGACTGGGAGTTTGTGCTGTACACCAGAAATTGACACATTGTAACTGATCATACTTCAATTAAAAAAAGAGACATGTGGCTAAACACAATACATGACCCTAGTTGGAAAAAAAGGTTGCTATAAAGGACAGCATGGGGCAAATGGCAAAACTTGAATGTGGGCTATTGTAGACAACAGAATAACAAAACCTCTCCACTTTCTGCATGAGAATATGACTTTTGGTCCACTTTCTGGCTCTATAAAGCTGACAGTCACGTACGCAGAGGGCAACACTTAAGGTAAAAATGACTTCTGATGGGCAAATGGCCCTGACTGGAGGTCTGTGAACACCTACTGAAGATTATCACTCGGGCTCCCCTGAGGACAGAATCTCTGGGCATAAGCACAGCTCCTGTGGGGCCTGGAAGCTCTGCCTCTGTGACCTTATGCTGGGGGGCATGAGGCTTGTAAAGCTGGCCAGCTGTGGCACTACCTGCTGCAATCCTGCCTCTGAGCCTCTAAGCAATGCTCTGCCTCTGCTGCCAGCCTGCAGCAGCAGGGGCTGACACTGGCTGTGGCTCCTGTCCCATGTCCCAAGTGGGTCTGCAACGGCAGCCCATGATGTCCTATATGTCAGAAAGTAGAGCTGAGCATAAAAATGCTCTGCAGTGAACACTGCAGAACAATTATCAACCATCAGTACAGAATCAACACTGAATTTCCCAAATGTGCTAATCACACTGTGGCTAGTTTAGACATTGTCTTTTACTTATATGCAGCATTTATAGTAAAAAAAAAAAGTTCCAGAATTTCCAAAGCAATCCTGAGAAAAAAGGCATCACCTTCCCAGGTTTCAGACAATACTACAAAACTATAGTAATCAAAACAGTGTGGTACTGGCACAAAAAGAGACAAAGAGATAAATGGAACAAAACAGACAGCCCAGAAATAAAGCTACACACCTATGGTCAATTAATCTATGACAAAGGAGGTAATAATATACAATAGAAGAAAGACTTCAGCAAGTGGTATTGGGAAAGCTGAACAGCCATCAGAACACTCCCTCACATCATACACAAAAATAAACTCAAAATTATTTAAAAACCGAAATATAAGACATGACAACATAAAAGTCCTAGAAAAGAACACAGGCAAAACATTCTCTGACATAAACTGTAACAGTATTTTCTTAGACCAGTCTCCCAAAGTAAAAGAAATAAAGGCAAAAATATACAAATGGTATGTAAACTTAAAAGCTTTTGCACAGCAAAAGAAACAAACAAAACAAAAAGACATCTATGAAATGGGAGAGAATATTTGAAAATGATGCAATTGACAAGGGGTTAATTCCCAAAATGTTCAAACATTTCATACAACTCAGTATCAAAAAAACGATCAAAAAATGGGCAGAAGACCTAAATACAGATGACCAAGGCACATGAAAAGATGCTCAACATCACTAATTATTAGAGAAGCAAATCAAAACCACAATGAGGTATCACCTCACACTGGCCATAATGGCCATCATCAAAAAATCTACAAATAATAAATGCTGGAGAGAGTGTGGAGCAAAGGAAATCCTCCTACCCTGTTGGTGGGAATATAAATTCATGTAGCCACTATGGAAAGAGTATGGAAGTTGCCTAAAAACTAAAAATAGAACTACCATATGGTCCAGCAATTCCACTCTTGGGTATATATTGGGAAAACACAAAAACTCTTAATTTAAAAAGACACATGCATCCCAAAGTTCACAACAGCACTATTTACAATAGCCAAGACATGGAAGCAACCTAAGTGTCCATCAACAGATGAATGGATAAAGAAGATGTGAGAAATATATAGATAACACACACACACACACACTTACATATACATATACTGGAATACTACTCAGCCATTAAAAAGAATTAAATATTGTCATTCACAGCAACATGGATGGACCTAGAGAATATCACACTAAATAAGCCAGAGAAAAACAAAGATTATACAATACCACTTATATGTGGAATCTAAATATAATGCAAATTAATTTATGTACAAAGCAGAAACAGATTAACAGACACAGAAAACAAATTTATGGTTACCAAAGGGGAAAGGGGGGAGGGATAAATTAGCAGGAGTATGGGATTAACAGGTATACACCACTATACATAAAACAGATAAGCAACAAGGATGTACTATATAACACAGGAAACAATACTCAGTATCTTATAATAATCTATAGTGGAAAGTAATCTAAAAAAAATATGTGTGTATATATATACACACACACACAACACACAACACATAAGTGAATCACTCTGCTGCACACCTAAAACACTGATATTGTAAATAACTATGCTTCAATAAAAAATTAAAAATAAAAGTCAAACTCATAGATACAAAGAACAAACCGGTGGTTGCCATAGGTAGGGGGTGAAGGGGGTCAAATGGTACAAACTTCCAGATATAAAATAAGTAAGTCCTGGGGATGCAATGTACAGCATGATGACTGTAGTTAACAATACTGTATAGTGTATGAAAGTTGCTAAACAAGCAGATCTTAAAAGATCTCATCACAGGGGAAAATTGTACCTAAGTGTGGTGATACATGTCACCTAGATCTATTTTGGTGATCATTTCCATAAATATAGAATAATTATGAAGCATACCTGAAACAAATATAGCATTATATGTCAATTATATCTCAATTGTTTTAAAAAAGATACTACTGAAAATAACAAAAAATTTTTTGTGAATCACCATTTTGTACACTTGTAACTTACATAGTATTGTACACCAACAATACCTCAATAAAAGTAAAACTTAAAAATCAGTCATTAATCTGCACTCACCTCATTAAAGGAAGTCTACCAGTTCATCAAGAGACATACATACATGCAATGAAATATAATAAAAGAAAAAAATTTAAAGAAAAAAATGTCCCTGTACCTAATAAATGCATGGTGTTTGTTTAAAAATGAAAAGTCATGAAGTTCACTTCCAAATGCTGGTGTGAGGAGACTCATGGACAGTTCCTCAGCAAAACAATCACAACTGGTAAATAAAGTAGCATAAAAATAAATTTGAAGTCTCTGGAAATTGTCCCAAGAGCTTACAGCAAATGCAGAAACATTTATTCAAGAAAATCTACAGAATCTCAGTAAGAACAGTGAGTCTTTAGCACATGGGCCAAGACCCACTCCCTCTCTCCCTGCTGCAGCTCAGCTTGATAGAAGTTCCACTCCAGGCTGGTGTGACCAGAAAAGACAGGGCTCCCCTCCCCTTCAGCTCTCAATCATCAGGAGAGCAAGCTTCCAGCATTCTAATCCCTTTCAATTGCAATTCGAAGAGGCTAAATATCTGGTTGGTATATCCAACAGGTTGGCGACTCCCTTCCTTCACCCAGTCCCTACTCTTGGGGTGGAGACTCTACCCCAGGCATAGCAAGCCCTGATCATCCTGTCACAAGCTTGAAGGAAGGCAGCAGGTCCTACATCTGGAGAGGCAAGCAGAGAAGATCAGAGGGTACCTCCCCTACCCAGTAACTGTTCTCAACAAATGCACCTGCCTGAATTTAACTGGATAAGACTGTGAAACAATTAACTTTTGTTAAATACAAAGAAACAAGAAAATGTGGGGAAAATGCAGTCCCCCCCAAAAAAAACCTGCCTGTAAGAGGACCTAGATGTTAGATTTAACAGAAACTTCAAACCAGGCACTAAAACTATGCTCAAATAACTACAGGAAACTTAAACTTAAGGAAGTAAAAGAGGATATATGACCGCTTATCATCAAACAGAGATTATCAGGAAAGAGATAGAAATTATTTTTTTAAATGCCAAATGGAAGCTCTGGGGTTGAAAAGTACAATAACAGAAAGGAAAAAAAAATCAACAGAAAATTTGAACTTCCTTGCAGAAGACAGACTCAGTGAACTTGAAGACATATTGATAAAAATTATACATTTTGACAAACACAGAGAAAAAGGTACAAAGAAAAATAAATAGAGCCTTACAGAAATGTACATCATTAAGAATATCAACATAGACATAATATGATTATCAGAAAGAAAGAAAAGTATCAAAAAAAATCAAGGAAAAAATAGTAAAATTTACCAAATGGGATAAAAATCTATACATCCAAGAAGCTCAAAAAAATCCAACAGGACAAACACAAAGATATCCACATCCTTTCACATATTGGTAAAAATGCTCAAAGACAAAATTCTGAAGCAAGAGAAAAACCACTGACAAGGGAATCCCATTAAGATTAACAACTGACTTCTCAGCAAAATAGTGGGGGCAAGAAAGCAGTGGAATAATATAGTCAGTGTTCTGAAAGGGAAAAAAAAACTGTCAGCCAAGAATCTTATATCCAGCAGAACTATCTTTCAAATATGAAGCCAAAACAAAGACATTCCCAGATAAGGAAAATTACAGAGAATTCATTGAGAATAGCCTTGCCTTACAATAAATATTAAATGAAGTTCTTCAGGTGAAAGCAAGTAACCCCAGATGGTAATTTGAATACACACACACACACACACATACACACACATACACACCCTCTAGCAATGATAAAGGTAATTATATAATTATAAAAGACAGTATAAATGAAACTTTACTGTCCTTTCTCATTTTAACTGATTTGAAGAGGTACTGAATGAATACATAAATTACTGTATTGCTGGGTGTATAACATAACAGCATTATACGTATGTTACATATAACATACAGTAAT